GTTCAGCTTATCCCTCCAGATATAATTCAATCATAATTCTAGTTCTTCCTATTAATAATTTTTAAAATGTCTAATTTAAACAAGTTATAATTCTGTTATCATTTTCCATTTATTGTTGAATTAAAGTCTTTTTTCTTCTGTTGAACTCAAACAAACCAAATATTGTTCACTTGCAGCTCTGTTCCTTCTTAATAATGTTAAAGACAGTCAAATTGAACCCATTTATAATAAAATTATAGTCCAATTATTTCCCATTTAGTTCAATTAAAGACAGTTTAATCGAAAAGCAGACAAACAGCAAAAACAAACCTGATCATTTAAATGAATAACTTATTTGTGCGTAAAATCTGTTGAAGCTTATTTCATTTTAATTGTGTATATTTATTTACCAGGATTATGTCCAGATTAACACGACCAGGTGTGGGTGTGAAGAAGTGAAGCTTCAGTTTGCTCACGTCACTCACCCAGTCCCTCTTCCTGTCTTTGACGTGTAAAAAGAAAACAAAACAAAAGCGTTTGAACGTGTAATAAATCCAGCTGTCGTCACATTTGTGAATTTTGTTTTTGCTGTAACAGAACTGAAGCGTCTGAAGCTCGTCTGTAGGCAGAATTTACATAAAACACAAACGCTGTTTGACTGAAACAAATGGATGAAAAAATTTTTTGTCTTCAAAGAAAAGGGGGGATTTTTGTCATGACTCATACACAAGTGTATAAAATGAGTCTGACAAACAGAGAGGGTTAGACGAAGAGGGGACCTGGAGGAGGAAGTCCTGCTGTGGAGACAGGTCGGTCAATTTTCTACAAACTTCCAGCTCAATTTAACATTTTTATTTCATTCTAAGCTCCTGCCAGCTTTATGTCGCTTTTGTAAGTTGCTGAATCTTTTTTTTCTGTACAGTTTTGAATGGCAACAAACTTTAAAAGTTATTTTTTATGAAAGGAAAAATCTAAAGAAGTTAGAAAATTTCTTCAAGGGATTGTTTTGTACCAATAAGAAAACTGAGTAACGTTGGAATTTACTGAAAGTTGTTTCTTCACCTCATGCAAGGCAGATGCAGTTGCTCAAAAATAAAACAATATTCATGGAAAAATAAAAGCATTTTTTTCCAGAAATCTTTGCTGTTGCAGCAAAGATTCTGTGCAGCTCTAGTTTTTAAATAAAAGCTGAAAATGAGCTCAGATTCTGACACTGATGTGATTTTCTTGCCCCCCTGCAGGACACCAACATCTTCACAGATGGAGCTGAAACCAGGTCCAGACCAGACCCGGGTTGAGGTTAATGCTAATCGTGATAGGGGTTGTGTTTTACCTGACACCTAACATGCTAGCATTAGCTTTACCCTGGGACATCTCGCACATGATGTCCTAACGGAGGAGCATCGTGTCTGGATGTTAAACAACGAGGCTCCAATTTAACGTTAACAAGATTAACCATCCATATCCAACTCCTCCAGAGGCTCTGCTACTTTTATCTCCTGATTAAATCGCCTCTCCTGTGAGAAAACTTGATTTTAGAAAGTTTTTTGCAGGCAAGTGACTTTGCTGTTACAGTGTTCAACCCCTGGTTCTCCTTCTGGACAATTTTCTATCCTTGCTGCCAAAAAACCCCTCCAACAATGTGATGAAAAAAAATCTCACTTGCTTCATGACAATCGTGTTCGCTCTCAAGATGGTCTGCTCTTCTAAAACATTTGGATTTCCTTCATTTGAATTTGTGGAGGGGTGGTGCAGAGGTTAGAGAGGGTGGGCCTGTGATGGGAAAATTGCTGGTCAACTCCCCGGACCGACAACATAAAAATGTGGGTGGGAAAGGTGAAACACCCACACCTGCCTTCACCCTCTGGGCCCATGAGCAAGGCCATTAACCCCACCAGCTGCTCCTCGAGCACCTTAGATGGCAGCCCACTGCTTCACATGTATGCTCACATGTGCAATGGGAAAAATAAAGAATTAAATTCCCCATTGGAGATTAATAGAGAACAAAAAATGTCTTTGCAAAATGTTCTTTCAAACGAAGAATGATCACATCTGGAGCAACATTTGCAACAACCTTTGCTTTTCTTTTGCAGTTTTTGTCAGGATATGTATGGAAGCCTATTTCCGCCATGAAAGAAAAAATAAATGCCCAACAGAAAGTCATAATTTCGACTTTTAAAGTCATAATTATGAGAATAAAAGTCATAATTATGAGTTTTAAAATCATAATTATGAGTTTTAAAGTCATAATTATGAGAATAAAAGTCATAATTATGAGTTTTAAAGTAATAATTATGAGAATAAAAGTCATAATTTCGACTTTTAAAGTCTTAATTATGAGAATAAAAGTCATAATTATGAGTTTTGAAGTCCTAATTACGATAATAAAAGTCATAATTATGAGTTGAAAAGACTTTAAAACTTGAAATTATGACTTTAATCTTATAATTATGACTTTAAAACTCGAAATTGTGACTTCCTGTTGGGGTTTTATTTTTTCTTTCATGACGGGAATGGGCTTCCATAGCATCTGTGTTTTTGGTTAACTTTGTTTATTTTTTATCACGGGGTTCGTTTTGTTCCCTTGTGTTTAAAATCTATGAGTTCCTCCTTTGTACCATCCCTCACTCCTCCTCAGTTTCTTTAGTCAGCCTGCACCATCTGCACCTGCTCCCAGTTTCTTCTGTCACAGCTGCAGCCTCTTTCCCCATCAGTCTCAGTTCCATGTAGCCTTTGAGGGTTTTCCACTTCTTTACTGGTGCATTAAGTATTTCACATGCCAAGTCCAGTTCTTTCCCTTGTGATTCTCGCTGTACTTTCTACTGAGGATTTGTTTAAGTGCTGCCACGACAGCGCTGTGATATTTAAAAATAAATAAATAAAGGTTTTAGTTATTTCTTTGTTTCTTGTCTTGGTCTGCATTTCTGGGTTCAAAGCTTCCGTTTTGTCCCATTATCCCCTCAATAACATGCTGTTTAGTAGTTCCGACACTGAGCTGTGGATCTTTCGGGATTCAGCTGAACTGTTTTAGTTTTAATGTGAAAACTCTGGTGCTTGCTTTGCGTGAGTGTCCCGTGCATCTCCTCTTCTAAATCGAGTCCATGCTCGGTTCGGATTAACCAAAGGCTTCATGCGCCGCTATTTTCAACTGATGCTTTACAATGAACTGAACGTACACACATAACCCGTTGGTCAGTGAGTAAAAGCCACATGATTTGCATTCAGTGGTGTGGAAAAAATGTATCACATATTACTTCTGTTTTTGCTTTTCTTGTCACTGAAACGTTTCGATAAGTGAATAAATGTCAATACCAGACTTGGATAACGTGACAAAAATGCAGTTGTTGATCAAGATTTAATTTATTAAGGTGAAAAAAATATATCTTTTTAGACCAACCAGAATATGACACAGAAAATTATTTTTTCACACATTCACATCCATAAAAAAAGTCAATTAGTGAAAGTTATCTACCTAAGGAAGCAGCAGATTGTATTGCATCTTAATTTTGTCACAGTCTGTCATCCTGAGCAAGCACAAAGGAGACAGTGGAAAGGAAAAACTCCCTCAGAATAGAAATCCTCCAGCAGAACCAGGCTCAGGACGATGGCCCATCTGCTGCGACCAGCTGGGGTTTGAGAGGATAGGAAGGAGGAACAGACAAATACAGAAGGACAGGTCCAGGTGAACTTTCTATAGGAGGAAAGACAAAAAAACAAACAAACAAAAAAACATGTTAAGATAGAAATAATTACAAATACAAACAGGTAGAGCAAGTAAAGACAGCAGCAGAGTGAAGAAATGTGGTCAATTTGTCCTCTAAGCCTATAGCAGCATAACTAAGGGATAGCTCAGGAAATCCAAGCGGTCCCTAACTATAGGATTTATCAAAAAGGAAAGTCTTAAAACTGGACCATGTGCTAGCCTCACGGACAGAAACTGGAAGTCGGTTCCACAAGAGAGGAGCCTGATAACTGAAAGATCGTCCTCACATTCTGCTTTTGGAAACTCTAGGAACCGCGAGTAAACCCGCAGTCTGAGAGTGAAGTGCTCTGCTAGGAAAATATGGAGCAATAACTGTAAATAAGATGGAGCTAGGTTGTTGAGAGCTTTGTAGGTTGTTTGTATGTTTGTATGAATTCTGTTCTGAACAGGGCGAGAAGCTAAAACTGATCTCTCTTTTCAACCCTCTTAAAACTGGCAGCTGCATTTTCCTTCAGTGTATATAAAAAAAAAGACTGTTTATACTAACGCATGTCTCTTTTATCCTCTTTAAGTTTATATAAATTAGACATGATGTTTGAACGCGGTGAGCACTTGAAACAAAGTCAAATTCCTTGTCTGAGCACACACAGACTTGGCCAATAAAAGTGGTTCAGATTAAGTCATTAGGTTTCAATGAAAAATAACAGGATCACTGATTGCATAAATTGGACATAAAAATAATGAACTAGCCTATAACTATTATTCTACAAGATTTTTTTGTTTAAAAAAAAAATCAAAGTGAGAGCTTATTTCTTATTTTATGTTTGTAACCAGATTATTATAACACCTGTAAGTCATCATGTTTGGTCTGCTTGAAGACGATCCAGCTGTGTATGCAATGTGTTTGCATGAGGACATTACTCTGCATCTGTCTGCAGGTGCATCTAAAAAATTAGAATATGTGGGAACATCACGTCAGTTTTGACCCAAGGGAAGGGTTAAGATAGATGAATTAAAAAAGTGTCCTTTTTAACAATATATTTTGTCTTACAAACTAACCTCTCGAGTGCTTTAATGGGATTAAACAGTCCAATAGAAAAGCTCCCACCCCCACCCCACCACTCCCCGGATCAGGCTGGTTATAAATGAGCGCATCAGATCAGCTGATAGTCTCGCGCATCCTCTCATGAATGACTTTTATCTTGCGCGCGATGAGGAGTCCCGCCGCCTGTAACTCGGCGGGTTTGTTCTCAGGTATGCGGTGCGCACCTGGACCCGCCGGCCACGCGCAGACACGCACCTTCCACCTCCTTTCATGATGCGGAGAAGCGCGCGGAGCCGCGGCGCCGCGCTCCCGCTCATCCTCGCGGCCGTGGTGTGCGCGTGCGGAGCCGCCACGCTGGAGTCGGTCCACTGGAACAGCTCCAACCCCAAGTAAGTGTCCGAGGAGAAGAAGTCTTCTTTTTTTGCAGCTGAATCCTTCAAAGCAACAGAAATCCTCTCGTTTCTTTTCCATTTAAAATATTATTTTCTCATTACATCATGAGGTGATGTTGGAAAACTCTCACATATACTGGTTGGTTCAGATGGAGCTGTATGGTGAAAATAAAAATAATTCTGTATTTAAAGTGCCTCCAGGACCCACCAACTGAAATGTTGTCTTCTGTTCTGCTAAAACTTTAATTGACACAACTTTATATCTTGAAGGGACTAAAATAGGGTTAAAGGTGAACCACAAAAGTGAACATAGCTTTTCAAATACGTAAACATTTTAGTATGTTGTGTTCCTGTTTTCTAGAGGCACAGTGTACCTCCACATTAAACCAAATTAATGTTTATTTACTAGAAACTGTGATGGAAGCAAATCCCTTAGAACAGACACTAACATTTAAATATGTACAGTCATGGTTCAAAATTGCAAAGTATAAAGTCAAACAAACAAAAACATATATGTTCTGATGCAGTTGGAAAGAGATTGCTCCAGTAAGTTGCAATAATAAAACGTGGGTCCACACTCAATGTAAACAATCTGCTGAAAACAACATGGAGGCTTGAATCACGTGAGGTTAACAAAAATGGAGGAATCAGGCGAGAGAAAACATTTAGGTGGAACTAAAAGAGTTAATCTGCTGCTGAACACAAAAAGAATACGAGTCAGTGCACAACTTTTGTTAAACTTCTGCTAAGCAGTAGGTTTTAAGATAAAAACCAATTTTAATTAGTCTGTTTCTGTAGATAAACATGTTACTCACAAAATTTTTGCTTATTTGTTTATTTTTTAGGACACGTTAATCATCGATACAAGGAAAATAAGATTTTTTTTTTTTGCCTGGTCTTCGTGTCTTTGCAATGTTCACCTTTCATCTCTGACACAGTCAAGAATATTTTAGTAAGAATTAAACTTGAATTTTAGATGCTTCTTTTTAAAAAAAAAAATGTCCACACAATAAAAATAAAGATGGAGGAAAAGGAAATTGAAGGCCGCTTGGTTTAAGATGAATGGGCCTAGCCCCCCTGGGCCCCCCATTTATTCCCGCCCCTGGTTTGAGCAGTACTCTGACTCAGAATTATCTCCATTGACTAAAACTTTAAAGGCCTCAAAGGGAAGCTTCCCTGCTGCTGATATTAAAAGTTTAAAACACTCCTCCTGTATGATTCATCAGCTCCAGTAATTTCATATTCATGCTTGGCTTTGCACTTTTCTCCTCTTTCTTCCTCGCAGATTCATTCCCGGTCAGGGGCTGCTCCTCTACCCTCAGATAGGGGACAAGATGGACATCGTGTGTCCCCGGTCCGAGGCCTCCGCCGGGCGGAATGGGGAGTTCTACAAGGTCCACCTGGTGTCCAAAGCCCAGATGGAGAGCTGCACCGTCAACAAGGCGGACGCGCCTCTGCTGAACTGTGACAAGCCCGAGCAGGACGTGAAGTTCACGTTCAAGTTTCAGGAGTTCAGCCCCAACCTGTGGGGTCTGGAGTTCCTCAAGGGGAGGGACTATTACATCACCTGTGAGTTCTGGTGAAGCCTCGTCTTGTTGCGTGTACATGTGAGCCGCTCTACAGGAAAGCTGCTGGTACCTACAGGTGGACTTGGAATCAGTGCACGCATTTGTTTCCATTTTTCTGGGTTGAACGAGGCAACCATCCACCACTTCCTCTCACTTTGTCAGTTCAAGTGAGAATCAGAGAAACGTGGCTTCGTTATCGGACCGCTGTCGGTTAAAGCAGCATCTTAGAGGCCAGCGATGCATGAGATGGAGAGCGAGTCCGACCGTGCAGCCTTGCCCACCTCGCACACTTTGCTCTTTCGAGCCAAGAGCTTACATGCTCCAAATCACACAAGGCTTTTACAGCATCAGGCAGATTTGACGGGAGCTTTCAGTCCAGCACGGCTTGTAGCCTGAAAATGTTATCTGACCTAAATGCTGCTAACAAGTGTGCGTGTGTGTGAGTGACAGGGGTGAACCAGAGTTCTTTGGTGTGTGCTGATCCGAGCCCTTCAATGGACGCAGAGTCTCTGCTCTGAGAGTTGCTTCTTATAACATGTTTTATTAATTTCATATTTTATGCCAAAGCTGAACGTTGAGCTGAACTCATTAATCAGTTTAACTGAAATGTTGGGCCCAGTTATCAGCTGCACCCAACTGCAGGTAAACCAGTTTACAAATCTGTAATAAATGCCCCACTGCATGGAGGCTTTAGGGGATAATTCTCTGTTGAAAATATCTTACCTGTTGTAGATAGATAGCTTCTTAAATCATCTCCATTTGGAGGAACAAAGTTAAAATCTGACAGGATGGACGAGTGGATTAATAAAGTATCTATCTATCTATCTATCTATCTATCTATCTATCTATCTATCTAT